CTCTCTCTCTCTCTCTCTCTCTCTCTCTTCTCTCTCTCTCTCTCTCTCTCTCTGCACATCTTCTTGATTCCGATGATTTCCCTCGCGCGACTACCGTCCTCGTGAGTTAAATGACGCGATAACTCCTAATTGGGTTATCGGAATGTTACGTTATAACGGCGGCGCGCCGAGTTCTGTCCAAGTTGCGCCTATTTTTCGCAATGGGAGTCAAGTCGCGCCGATAAAGTTCTGCACTTGCGCTATTTTCGCGGCGCCTGCGCCTTGCCGCTTCGCCGCGCGAATGTTTTTGCGACCGCGCGAATAGCAGATGGGATAATCAAACGGGATTATCCCATCCCGCACACGTTCATTCCATTATTATTATTGCGGCCAATTGACAGCGGTATGCGCGCGCGGAAATATTTTCCTCCGCGTGCGTGTCAAGCGCGATTTATCCGTCCGGCTCCGTTTTTCCAATTTCTGGTATCTTCCACGTCCGGAAGATTTCCGGAAGGAATGACTATTTGACAATTAGACCGAGTCCGTCAAGATTAAATTGCGCAAATTAAGTGCACACGTGTATCCGCGCAAACCCGACCACGTCGATCTGATGCGAAATTCTATTTCAAAAGACGGGACCGCGCGCTTACATAATTGCGCGAATACAATTGTGCGATCACAATTCTAATTCGCGTGGGAATATCAGCAGATCTAGTTTCATGAAATAATTTCATGGCTAGTTTTGACACTAATTTCCATCACTAATTTCATCGCTAAATGCGTCGTAATTGAATGAATACTGATCGCGTCTCATGAAAGCTCCGGGCAAAAATTAATTCCGCTCGTGACGTATAAGCGTCAAATTGAATATCACTATGTAAAATTACATTCAATTCATTCGCGTCGAATCGCGTTCATCAATCAATTATAACTTTCCTTTTACAAAAGCGATAGAAAGTATATTTACGATTTTATTTGCACTTATTTCATGCGCCGCGTGGCGCATACTTTAGAAATTAACTCGCTGGCAAGTCGAAATACGAATAAGCTCGCTACATTATCTTTAAATTTAGAGGAATATAAATGATAAATGACAAAGTTCAACGATTGTAGGGCACTCTTTATCTGTAGTTCGCTGATTACGCATTTTACGATCTCTGGCATGTATATTCGTTGAGGCGCGACAAACATCGTTTCTATTTTGGTTTCTCGCACCTTCTCGCTGGTACAAGATCGAAAGTTTCACCCAAAAACCCTGTCTTCAGCTCTCGCATTTTACACGCGTATTTCGGATGCCACAGTCAAATACAAACGGAGGTCAATGGATGAAATGACGATACGTTATATGGGGGTTCCGTACCATTGGAATTGCAGTTAATTGACATTATGATATTAATAACGCTTTTAAAGTCGCCGATTAAGTAACGCTACCTAAACAATGCTTTTAATTGCCTCTGACAGGACACCCGTTAATATGTCTTCATTAGCGAGGAGCTCGTTTAACCCTTCCGGTCGCGTACGTTCCCTTTGTCGGTATGTTCAGTCGCGGTTTAAATTGTTTGAAGTTAAAGAGATATCTTTCGTCGATACTTGAAAGTTTCTTAATTTAAATTTTTGCTGTTCTTATAGCTTAATAATTTCGTTATAAGTTTAAATGACAATGCAATTAATAATTTAAGCCCTTTAAATCAAGATATTTTATAACTTGTATTGATATTTATAATTTATAACCATTTGTAATCTCTCTCATATAAATAATCCAAGATTTTGGAAAATTTTTATCAAAATTTTTGAGCAATGTTGCGCTTTAAGTGGACAAGCAATGAAAGTTAAAAACAACAATGTTCCGAAAAGTCATTAACTGAAAATTTAAGACGTGCTGTAATAATGTTTTGAAATGTTACAAAAATGATACAGAAAATTAAAATTAACAAAAGTGACAAACTCGTATCTATCTATCTATCTTGCGTAAAATTTCAGCCGTCGACCAACGAGAAACAAATTTTGATCGATACATCCGTGAATGCCATGATAAAATTGCAAGATACGAAGTATGAGTGAATGCATATAATTTCTTTTTTTTTCTTTCTTTTTTTTTTAATAAAACAAGTGCTTCCTTTTTTCCGCGTAAGCAGCTGTGTATTATCCGATTGATAAACGTCGCGTTGCCACACGTTAATTAATTAATTAACGGCGCATAGATGGAATGCGGACGGGTGGGTGCGCGATAATCGATGCGGGGGGGAGGGGAGGGTGGAGGGTGGGGGAGGGGGAGAGGTCCCCGGAATACAAAGTAAGCATATTCCGTGCGGCGCTTTTTATCGGCGCTGCGACATGACCCGTTCATCGTCGTCCGGTGCGTCTATGAGCGTATTGTGCCTGGCGATTCATCATTTCGCCGAATGACGAATGATGCCATCGCGCGAAGCCCCGATCGCCACCGATAACGCCACCGAGGTAGCGCGCGAATGATCGACCGCGTAATCCGCGAAAAAGAGATCCTCACCTGGCACCGGACGCGCTGGTGCGCGACCGACGAAGAAATATCGCCGGGCATTATAATAATGGAACAATCCTATCGGAGATAACATTACCGTAGCGCGAATCTGAAGCCTTCATCTATTCTTCTCTCCTCCCCCTTTCCCCCCCCTTTCCTCTTCCTTCCTTTTTTTTTTTTTTAAACGTCGCTCGACTTTACATGCGCATAAAACGCGCGCATAAAACGTACGCTTTTAGACGCGGCCATTCGAGATCGAAATCCGCAGATAAGGGGATCCCGGGCGCGTTGCACGTCATTTACACGATCTCTCGGTGGACAGGTCGGACGCTAACGTTTAATGAGACCAACGCGAAAAATAGGATACAGGGTCGGTTTTAAGTCTAACGGGATCGCCACTTAAAATTATTCATGGTTAGTTCGAACTACTTAGACTGATTTAATTCTGTGTATTACGCCGCGACGACGCCGGCGGCAGGAAGTGAAGAAGCAACTCCTAGGGATGTAAAGACGATTAGCATTAAAGCCGCTATCGCAACCTTTAGCGCAACTCCGTGACGAGGTGCCATTCATATTTTTTATCGATGTCTATTAAAGCTACTTCAAGATGGAAGAAAGAGAAGAAGAAAAGAAGATTGCATTTTACAAATAAAAAAATTGCAATCCGATAAATGATGATTGAGATATATCGATTGATATTCGAGTTTTTATCGACTTTAAAATGTTTTAAATATCTTGTATATTCGCATAATCTCGCTGTCTTTGTTACGTGTTCTTGAACTCCGTTCGAAAATGAAACATTCTTACTTCAACACCTGAAAGTACTAAAAGATTTTCTTAGGAATGTGCCGACGGCAGGAAGCGACGTCGAAGTAATAAAGTTGTCAGCAGCCGAAGGTAGTTAAAACTAACTGACATGCGCTATGATAAGAAATACGTATAATGATAAGAAAACACATCGCGCCCGTCAAGTTGTTTTTTTCCATCGTTCATCGCGCCGACTAATTTTGATTCATAGCGTAATCTAAGATCGTTACTGACCGCGCGATCGTAACGCATGATTTCCGACAAGACAACAAAGTAAAAAGACATCAAGGGACAAATGATTACGCGAAAATTGCGATGTTCCAGGATGCAAGGCTCTCCTGAGTGTCGAAGTTTCGAGAGCCTGGCTTAAAAGTTTCAAGATCCTGGAGAAGTACTCGGCAGAACGAATATCAATGTCTCAATGTCTTCTCTGCATGCGCAACATAATGGCGCTGTCGTTTCGCAATACCCCGCGTGTCGTGACCGATTGCACTTGTGACATAACGCTCATTTAAGGAAACCCGCAAACAATTGCCCCGGCCGTGCTTTTTGCGGTGGCACGCCCCCTCACGCGTGAAACATCATTGTTTGTTTGGCCCTAATCGCGATGAGAAAGGCGACTGCCTCACCGTAATTCTAAACAGCCAGCAATTCGCGCGGCCATTCCGAAGCTATTCCCATTGGACAGTTTTACAAGCAGCTAATTACAAACCTACATTAAATCTACGTTGTAGCAGGATAAGCAGTTTCGTTTATACAAAATATCCTATTAAGCTAGGGTTGCCGTATTAAAATTTTCAAAATTAGGACTTACAAGCCAAAAACCCCAGACATTTCGGTTGCAACCCCGGCTGCAAAAATGCGCTTAAATTTATAAAATTGATTGGAACAGTAGTAAGTGAATCATTATTTTACATCTAATTGTTTATTAGCATTCAGAGCAAAGAAAAATTTGAACTGGATGCTAAAGAAATATAGACTATTTTGATTTAAAATAAAAAGTTTTATTAAAATTAAAAATTTTAACTCCTTTATGTGATATCTGTGCTATCTGGTAAAGCAGAGTAATGCGAGAGGAATCAAAACAAAATATTTAGAAGATTTCTTGAAACTCTCTACGCTTATAATTATCCCGGACACTTTCAAAAAATCCCCCGGACGTCCCCGAACGTCCTAAAAAAGAGAACAGTGTCCGGGGAAAAGAGGACGGATGGCAACCCTATATTAAGCACATATTAATTCATTACGATACTAATTAACAGAAATTAATAATTTTTGAGCAATACTAAGCGCTAACATTTTATATTAAAATATCCAAAAAATATATTAATATTTAATTAATTTTAGATTTAGAAAGTTTTTTTTTAAAAACAGCATAATATGAAATTTAAAAATTTAGTCCAATAAAAGTTAATAATGAATAAATTTAAAGTATGACAAACAAGTTTAAATAAAAATTCAGAAGCTGAAGAATTAAAGAAGCTGATCAAAATTATGAAAAATGTAGAAAGGAAAACGGAGCTTGCGTTTCCGTCCGGAGGAATAAGAACGCGAGTGCGGAGAGATCTTTAAATAAAGATATCGGTCGATGAACACGTCGCGCATTGATTTCAGGACTCGTTAGGACACGCTATCATTATGGGCGGGTGTTAAAATTACACCCTGCCGGCACGGTTAACGGCACGCCACGTGTTGATCGGCGATCGCAATCGAACTCCGGAATACAAGTTCGACGGTGGACCAATCTCCCCCCAAGGAGCCATTTGCATGCAGATTGGATTAAGGCTTTTGGCTTTTGGGAGAAGTGATGATCGGCCTCGTCCTCCGTAATACCGGCCGCCAATTATTGTTATTATTATTATTACCACTCGAGCTTGGGACCTCGTTGTAATTTTCCAATTAACGGCGCGTATCAAAGTTAGTTATCTCGCCGTTTTTGAACATCTGCCATAATGACAACCGATATTTTAACGGGATTTTATCACCGTCGGAGGAAACGATATAACAGGTTACAAAAATACAAAAGGAGATAGACTCAAATGCACGCGCGCACGCGCACCTCAGACACATAAGGGAAAAGAGAAATTTACTCTTAAACAAGTTTGTAAAGAGTTGAGTTGCTCTTTACGACGTCAAATTATCCAAAGAGCGCCTTTTTTTTCTTTTTTTTTTGGAGTTAAGAGTGCGTGAGATCATTCACCGATGTAATCATCCGCGTGTAAACATCCGTCAGGTATACACACCCCAAGCAGTTAGTGGGCCACTGTTTGAGAAAGATTGCTTCATCACGTGCCGTGTACACGCATTTAATATCGCCTTACGAGCGCCCGCTAACATGTCCCCGCCCACCCGCGGGAAATGATACGCACCAAGCGTGTAACGCGTATGTCAGAAGTCACGAGGAGGATATATATATATATATATATATGAAAAGGAAGAACGCGAGAGGTGCCGAACACGCGAGTGCATTAATCTTCTTTGCGCCAGAGCAAAATGAGAAACACGCGATACGAGCTGCCGTCCTTTACCGGACGTTATTAATGTCCAGAGGGCAAGCAAGGGAATGCAAAGGCCAGCGATTTGCAGTAAAGAGAGAGAGAGAGAGAGAGAGAGAGAGAGAGAGAGGAGGAGGAGGAGGAGGAGGAGA